ACCATTTTTCTTTAAGCTACTTCAAAATCAGTAAAAGTTAATTTATAAGACAATTCTTTACAAAGCATTTGCCTTTACATTCACAATTCATATTAACAAATTCTTATTTTAAAGCTATATCTTACAAATTATATTTTTTGTAAATGACTTACAAATTAATACTTATTTGCAAAATGATATCATTTTTCTCTTTTAGTAAAATGTTTTCCCCAAAATACTTTCATTTACAAATAACATGTCAAATGAAAACACCATTAATTTTATTTCACACATACATGCATTTTAAAATGAAACACAATTTTTCAAAACAAAATCATTACAGTATATTTCTATATTCAGCAAAGAGTCCTCATCAACTTTCACCTTTTTGGGTTGTTTATTTTTCTTTTCAATATGCATCATTTAGCTTCAAAATTTTATAACACTTACCAAGTATCCTGAAATATATATAAAAAACAGTTATATATTAAAATATCCAATGTTTTATTAATTTAAACACACACACATTCATTTGAGGTCTGTTTTTGTTTTTTTAGCTAAAATTGATCATGCTTTCAAAAACACAGCAATAATCCATAAGAATAAAGAAGTATGCAAAACTATTTGTCTATTTTTCAGTAACTTCATTCTAGGATGATAAAACAACACTCAAAATAATTGTAACTTCTACATTTGTACAAGCATTGTACACAATTGGACCACCAAAAACAAACCACAGTCTGATAGACATGAGTAACACCAATCAATATAGACCCTAAATGAAATAAAGATCATCAGTATCAACAACAGAAAAAACTTACCACAACCAATTAACAACAAAAACTTCAAAGCACTGTGTCTTTCCCTACAAAAAATATTTCTAAAATTAAATCACAACATTAAAAAAGTATTCTTTTATAATAGCCATTTCAAGTCAAAGTAAGGCTGCAACGTTTCTTGAAGTCGCAATTCAATACACTATACGATACTCAACAATACAATTTATGCAATAATTATCACATTTCATTTATTACGGAAAGAAAAAAAAAATAGTAAAAATTTGTTAAAGTACTATCAAATTTGTCACTATGAAGCACTTGAAAATATCTAGAAATAAACAATTGTAATAAAATCACATTTTTTAACTCAGAAATGTATTTTTGCAAGTTTTGATGTGAAATAATACTTGTAAAATAAAAATTGACACTATTTCTTAAACACACACAGATTCAGTGTCATTTGTCACGCTTACTTTTATCAAACACAATGGATCAATAATATGGAAACAATTGCAATTCACCGATTCATCAGTGAATCATTGCAGCCCTAATTCAAACCAATAATTTAA